ACTGGAACGTTTAAATCAAGCCCTTCATCAAAAATGCCCTTCAATCGTAAAGGTGTTCTTCTTCTCCAAAACAATGCATGTCCACATGCGGCAAGTTTGATGCGACACAAGATTATGGAGTTGGGTTGTGAAGTTCTCCTCCACTCACCATATTCTCTAGACATGGCACTATCAGGTTACCATCTGTTTCATTCATTGCAACACCATCTTAATGGGAAAATGTAGAGGAGATCGACATGTTTTTTTGCTTCAAAGCCAAGTGATTTCTTTAATCAGGTCATTAACAACCTGATTGTAACATGGAAAAGCATCATCGATAAGAATGGAGACTATTTCATTTAATAAATGTTTTATTTTGATATATAAGTTGTTAGGGTTTTTTTCATCTAAAAAAAACGGCATTAATTTCTTGACGACCTAATATATATATCAGTTATAGAAGTAAAGAGCACGTGCAATATCATAATATTCCCCACAATTTAAGCTGCGCATGCATTATTGGTGACAGTCAGTCACTTAGCAAGGTAAGTGGTAGTGTGCTGTTGACTGCCTTTCCCCTTGTCAATATTTCAAAATTAGGGACGGTGGTAGGTAGCCTTAGAAGCTTAGTCATAAATATAAAACTACAAATACATGTGGAGGTCTTGAAAATTCATCAGTCTTAATTAAAAAAGAAACAAAAAACAGTTTGCAACCGCTTATATATATATAATAGAGCATTGACGAAAATAAATTCAAAACTAATCTTCTACCTTTTTAATAAAATTATTCGTGTAATAGTAAATATTCTTTTCTTTTTCTATAACATAGTAAAGCTCTTTAATAGACTAGTCCACAAACTTTCAGTGTTTAGACAGTTTTTACTGTAACGTTACATTACGCATTGGACAAGAGAAATTTAGTCTTAAACTGATAGGTTAGAGGGAAGGCAACTAGTCAACATCACCAACCGCTAACGCTTTGGTCACTGATACCTGACCGAATAATGGGATTTGATCGTCATTTTTATAACAAACCCACGATCCCAAAGTGAGGCGCACGTTTTTGTTTTTTTTTGTTTTTTTGCGGCAATGGGCTGTGAAATAAAAACCATTGAATTCTCAAGTCACAACAAGGTAACAACTAGACCCTGCTTGGAAACAGAAACTAGAAGTTTAAATTATTCATTCTCTACAGATTAGAAAAGGTAAAACTTTAAAATTACTGTTCATGTTTCTACCTTGGCCATTAAAATTGCTTTCTTTCAAACTTCGAGTTGGTGTCCATTTATTACCTGGTCAAAGTTAATGATACGATCAGTTCTTCGTTAACGACTACTGGAAAGTTACAAAGTGTTTGAAAGATTCGCGTAATCTATACTAATAAAACAGACTGTGTATGTCTATTAGCACCAAATCTCCAAGAGGAAAAACCTAGAGACATGAAACTTTTCACGCATACTAAGGAAATTCTGAGGGTGTCCATCTGTGTGTTATTTTTATCTCAAAAAAATTTTGGCCAAAATTTGTGTTCTATAATTTTACCCTATAGTTCTTAAGCCATAAAAATAGGGAAGTATATGCTGCCATCTGTCGCTTGGTTCAACAAATTGTTAGGGAATAAGTATTTAATAATAATAATAACAGTTTTGTAACAACAGGTTTAAATGTGTGTGTGTGTGTGTGTGTGTGTGTGTATATATATAAGGCACTCCAGTGGCACAGCGGTATGTCTGCGGACTTACAACGCTATAAACTGGGTTTCGATGCCCACAATGGTCAGAGCACAAATAGCCCATTGACTGGATTTGTGCTTAATTAACTACAAACAACAACAACTTGTATAAAAGTGTTAGAATTCAGATTATTGGCGGAAATGCTTATATTTAAATGTTTGTTCGTTTGCATCTAATAAACTATTTTTAAAATACGTGTGTGTGGATAAAAAAAAAAATTATAAAATTATTATTTGAAACAAAACCTTATATAGAAAAAAATTCGACTTATATATATCAAGGAAAAAAGTGTTAGAAAAATGGTATTTTTGCATTTTTATCATTTAAGAGTTCTACCATTGATTGTGTATTTGAACAAATAAATTTTCTGATTTTCAAAGTGATAGAAAAATTTACTTTTAAATAAAAGACGTTGTTACCCGTGTAGAGAAAAAACAAATTTGACTTTATTTAAAAAACAACTGAAGGTGATACGAATAGTGCAAAACGTTCTTTAAACTATGTTTGTGCCTCTTTGTTCGCACCTTTCAGCCCCTATAATAGTAGGCCTATAAAGATATTGAATCAGGGTAATCAGGTTTAATGTCTGTGACGTCACTTTTTTAGTGTCAATGGAAACTTTGTAATCTATTTTTTTTCCACAGAAGACGGCCCGGATTTTTGGTCTGATTTATGTGGAAATGAGGTCAGAAACATTTATGTGTATTTTATAGAGAGCTGTGCTGTCAGAATAAAAATCCATCAAACACTGTCGTGTCTACTGACAAACAAGACTAACTTTTCTATAGAATAGACATGTTGAACCATCGAAATTCTGCAAAAATAAATTGGTGTAATTCATTTTATTTTAGAAGGGGTGTTAGGTATGATAAAGATTTCTGACGCTCGTTATGTACCTCAGAGTAAAATGTCGAATAAAAGAAGAAAAAAAACAATTCTGACTGCCAATCAGAAGCAGCAAACCTATTCAACAAAAGCGACAGAGTGAGACCTCACAATAAACCAAAAATGTAGTTTATCTAGAGGCACTTTAAAAAAAAAGGGGGGGGCTATACTATACTATTCATTTATTTTCTTTAATTTTTACGCTCTTAAGTCATTTATCTCACAGAAAACACGATCCTTTCTATTTAAGAATAGCTAAACATCGGCCCTCTGTTCAGCTAATGCCAGGTAAGGACGGTTAGTTTTATTTAGAAACGACAGATAACTCAGTCAGCTTAGTAAAATCACATCACTGAAAGCCCTGCATGGCCAGGTGGTTAGAGCGCTCGACTCGCACTCTGAGGGTCGCGGGATCGAATCCCCGTCCCACCAAACATGCTCGCCCTTTCAGCCGTGGGGGGCGTTATAATGTGACAGTCAATTCTACTATTCGTTGGTAAAAGAGTAGCCCAAGAGTTGGCGGTGGGTGGTGATGACTAGCTGCCTAAATTAGGAACGGCTAGCGCAGATAGCCCTCATGTAGCTTTGCGCGAAATTCAAAACAAAACACATCACTGAATTACTAAATAATTACTAGACTGTAATGTTTCCGATCAATGTGATACTATAAAAGTTGTTTTTGTTTCTTTACGCCACAGTAAATTAAAGTAGCTCATGAAATTTAAGTACGATAATGTTTAATAGTATGGATCAACAAAGATTCCAAAAATTCACGCGCCGAAAAATCACCCTATCGAACTCCTAAGCGAAAAACCGACCATTCAAAGTGTTAGTTACGATATATTATGCGCATATGTACTGATAATACGCTTACAAGGTCGCTAACGTTTCCGGTATAACAATTCAAAAATGTCTAAAACAGCAACTTTTTCGTCTACTACCTACCTACGTGATCACGCCAGAGGGGCTAGCGCCTAAACGGCTCGGACTATCACTACAAGATTTTTCCAGCTTACTTGACTGGTCTGTGGGTATTCGTTTTTGATATTCCGATAAAAATCCATATATATATATATACAGGTATAATATAAATGGTAAACATATCATGCACACACTTAAATATCTTTTCAACCCAGTGGATGGGTTTACATATTGATGAATAGACACCCGACAGTTTCTAAAGGTAAAATATATACTTTATACAGGTATAACATAAAAAGTAAACAAGAGTATTAAAAAACATGAATTTTAAAATGAAGTAGGGATCCTGCTATAAAAAGAAATGAAACAAGAATTAAAACCACAATCACGTTTTTTTTTTTTAATTTAATCCATGCTTTGGCATCTTTATACATTTATCTGTAGGTCAAAGTAAGGATTTAATTTTTACTTAAAGATAGAGCTTTCTCTCAATATCGTTTTGCCTAAATATATTATTTATGAATTGAGATTATAACAAATGAATGAGCACTTCATCTAGAAATTTTAAAAGTGTGTAAAACTATCTTAAATAACTTATAGCAAGTTTTTAAAAAAACTGTGTTTAAGTATCATATAATTCTAATCCTTACATTAAATAGTTTCAATGTTCTAGCAACTATATTTCTAGTGTTTCGTATCTATAAGTATGAAGACTTGATTTTATAAGTTGAGTATATGCTTTTACAGACGATTCTTCATTCGTATCCACAAACACGAAAAAATAAAATAAATACTGAACTTACTTACTGGAAAATTTCTTTTCTAGTGAGATATGTCAGTTCCTGTTGAAAAGGGATAAAATCATAACTACCAAGTCATTGATAATCATTAGTTTAGTTTTCAGTTTACTTACTGACTTTGAGTATATTTTACTACTATTTACAGCAATTACAGTAAGTAAGATTTGTTTTTGAACAGGTACGACGTTTCGATCACTGGTGTACTTGAGAATGATTGCACAAGTGATCGAAACAATGTATTTGTTCTAAAACAAATCTTACTTACTGTAAAAGCTGTAAATTGTAATAAAATATTAATAATAATTTTTTGAATGAAGTATGAAACAAAGCAACATTTTCAAAATCTATAAACGTAATGAAAACATTTCCCTGCAGTTGTTTTATCATCTTTATTAAACTTTCTCATTTCGACAACCTTAAGTTTTTAACAGCTTAATATATGAGTTGTTAAAGAGTCATACATATAGTTTGTTTTGTTTTGTGTTTCGCGCAAAGCTTCACGAGGAATGTCTGCGTAACCATTCATAATTTTGAAGTGACAGACTTCAAAATGAAGGCAGCTAGGCAACACCACCCATCTAATTATTTTTACCAACGAATATTGGAATTGTTCGTCACGTTATAACAGTCTCACAGCTGAAAGACGAACATGTTCAGGGATGGGTTTCGAACCCTCAGCTTGCCAGTCGAGTGCCCTAATTATCACGGTCATGCCAGACTCGTACAATTAGTATTAAGTAGAGATATTGTTTCTGACCAATGCTGGTATTAAATGGCTTAAATTACTGTGTTTCTAACTGAGGACTAGTTAATTCCGATCCCATGATTCCAAGGACCGTTTCATACAATCCCAACTTTTTAAAGTACTTTTGAACTAGATTGTAAAACAATATACTTCAGTAACTATTTTTTAAAATACATGTTTAACCGTTTTGCAGACCGGGTGGAATCACTGACTTACAATTTCATTTTTTAATCTAAAAGGTACTTTTATGCGCCAGTGAACTAAACGGCCAGGTCAGACGCCTATAAGAATCAGACATAACCGTCCCTAAATTTGAACTACTGACCAGAGAGAAGCAGCCAGCCAGCCAGTTGAACCCGCTGCTGTAAGAGCTCTGTCCGGTTTTTACTGAACAATGACACTGATTGTCACTTTTACAATACGTCCACAGCTGAAAGTACGAAAAATATCCTTTGGCATCACGTCTCGAACCTCAGACCCTGAGGTACTAAATGAAATATCTCCTCAGCTAACAAAATACAAATTTGCTTTGCTAGCTTTTTTCCCACCTCGATCTGATTTGAAATTCCTAAAAAACTTTCTGATAGAAACGAGCTAACAAACAAAGAAAAACTACAACAAAATGTGATGTTTCTTCTAATTTTTTTTTAGTTTCATCTCCTCTCCATGTTGTAGGTTTGTAGATGTTAACACTATTGTTACGTCTCCGTTTGTTAGTTAATTTTCCGTAAATTCGTTCCGACGAAACTTTAGCGACACAAGTCCTTTCTTAAATAAAACTGGTTTGTTCTTTCCGAATACAACTTTACCGATACACTTAATTTCAACAGTCGCGCTATAATAAACGTCTCACGAGCTCGACTTTAACAATACTCCGTTCAACTACACACTCTCTGACTGCA